TATGTAACAGTCAAATTGTTAATAATTTTTAATGTGTGTGGTCAGTAACTATCTAACAGTCAAATTGTTGGTAATTCTTAATGAGTATGGTCAGTAACTATATAACAGTCAAATTGTTGGTAATTCTTAATGTGTTTGGTCAGTAACTATTTAACAGTCAAATTGTTGGTAATTGTTAATGAGTGTGGTCAGTAACTATCTAACAATCAAATTGTTGGTAATTCTTAATGAGTATGGTCAGTAACTATCTAACAGTCAAATTGTTGGTAATTCTTAATGAGTGTGGTCAGTAACTATGTAAGTCAAATTGTTAATAATTCTTAATGTGTGTGGTCAGTAACTATCTAACAATCAAATTGTTGGTAATTCTTAATGAGTATGGTCAGTAACTATCTAACAATCAAATTGTTGGTAATTCTTAATGAGTATGGTCAGTAACTATCTAACAATCAAATTGTTGGTAATTCTTAATGAGTATGGTCAATAACTATGTAACAGTCAAATTGTTGGTAATTCTTAATGAATGTGGTCAGTAACTATGTAAGTCAAATTGTTAATAATTCTTAATGTGTGTGGTCAGTAACTATCTAACAATCAAATTGTTGATAATTCTTAATGTGTATAGTCAATAACTAACTTTATTTTTTTAGTGCACTCCTTGCAGAGAAGGAGTCGGCTGGATGAATAAGATTATGCATAGGTTTGGTAAGTACGCAGTTCGTCATTTTTTTGTGTCTATCACTTAAGAATTTTTTAGGAAAATATAGGTTTGAAGCATGACTTATGCCAAATAGATAATACAGTTAGAAGTGTTTATGATCTTTTTAACAGGCTATTCTTAGCACTTTAAGAAAATAGTGTTCACAAAATATAAACAATTACATTTTCTGCATCTACTGTAAGATATTTATACTTGCAATAATTTGCAAAAATTGTGTCATTAATTCTAGTGGAAGGAAATGCCCGAAACGATGAAATTGACATGATTTATGAAGTCAGTAAACAGATAGAAGGACACACAATCTGTGCTTTAGGTGATGGTGCAGCCTGGCCTGTTCAGGTAAGATTTCTAGTAAACATAGATAGAAGGACACACAATATGTGCTATAGGGCAGGCTGTACCATCACCTGTTCAGGTGAGATTTCTAGTAAA